AGACAGGGTCTCACCATGTAGTCCAGGCTGGTCTTGAACTCACAATGTAGCCCAGGCTGGCTTTGAACTCACAGTGATTCTCCTGCCTCAGCCTCCCAAGTGCTAGGATTATAGGCATGAGCACACACACCCAGAAGTACCTCTGCTTTTAAAGACACTTCTAGAAAATGTATTTTGAAGGAAATAATCTGAAGAGCATGCTAATATCTCCTGATATTTATCACAGCATTGTTTAAAATTCCAAAAGCTGAAATAGTCCAGATGTCCAGCAATAAAGAACTGGTTAAATATATAATTTTACATCCAGATAATAGAGACACCACGCTGGCAATTAGAAATAATGTAGATTTGGGTGTATTTACATGGCATATACTCAGTGAATTGCTTTGTGAATAAGGCAGTTTCAGGATAGACCATACATCTAGAATTTGCTTTTAAATTATAATCAGTGTGTGTGTGTGTTTACGTAGGAAGAGGTCTAGATCAGAGGTGGTCAAACTTTTACTGAAAAGGGCTCTACAGTGAATTTTTTAGGTTATGCAGGTCCTCTGATCTCTGCCACCAGGACTCCGCTCTGCTGCTACAGGTGATAGCAGACACAGGCAATGTGCAGCACAACGCTGTGGCTGTTTCAATAAAACTTTATTCATGCAAACAGGGTGCAACTGGGCGTGGTGACACAGGCCTATAATCCCTGCCCTTGGTAGGCTGAGGCAGGAGGATCACTCCGAGTTCCAGGCCAGCCTCCGCTACACATTGAGACCTTATCTAAATAAACAAACAAAACATAGAGTACGGACCAGACAGCCCACAGAATGCAGTTTGCTCCTCCCCCCTCCCCAGAAGAAAAACATAACGAAATGGTAAGAGTGCCTATTTCTAGATGGTAGAATTATGAATGCTTTATGACTATTCCTACGTGGTAGAATTATGGATGGTTCCTAATGTACTTTTGATGACTTGCAATTTTTGTATTCATCAGTGAAATTTAATAGTGAGCATGTATTGTGCTTAAAATCCGAACCATTAACATGCTTTTTGAGGGGCGGGGGAGAAGGTTTTAAGATGCTCAAGAAAGTCTTGCATAGTTCCTTACCCTAAGAGCAACTTTTGTCAGTTTCTTAGCTCTTCTGTGGGGCGCCTGGACACCTCCCCGCACACAGAGGCTGGAAGGAAGGGGAAGAGGGGTGGAGGAGGAAGCAGAGGAGAGAGGAGGCGGAAAGGAGGAGGGACAGGGGCACGGACAACAAGCTGCACCCCAGCGTCCAGTGTCCGGCAGAGTCCTGGCCCTGCAGAGCGCGGCACCTACCACTAGACACAAGTCACAGAGCGCCAGCTCTCTGGAAGCCTCCTCCTGAACGGCGGGATCCAGGTTTTCTCCGAACCACACCACGTGGGGTCGCACCAGGCCCCCGCACCCCGCCACTTCGCACCTGGAGGGACGGGATTGTTACACCGCTTCAGCCAGTTCGCAGGAGGCCTGGCGGCAGGCTAGGGGCCGCTCCAAGCCGCTGGATGGTCACCTCCGATCCTTCCTGCGCCCCCAGCCCGCCACCCCTGCGAACGGCCCTGACGCGAGCGCCGAGTCTGCCTGTCCTGTCCGCGTCTGCGCACAGCTGTCTCGCCTCTGTCCCCTGGGGTGTGCTGACATAGTTTCAGCAGAGGCCTAACGAGCTATGGCTTCCCCAGCTACTTCATTACCCTCCTGGGCACTGCTGTGCTCGGCACCAGACCTGGCGGCACCACGGCCTCAGGTTTGCCTCTGAAACCCGCACCCTCCCGTCACTGCCTCAGTGACCGCCTTCCCCTCACTCAGAAGCGCTCCTCTTGAGACCTGTCCACAGCGAGTGCTTCAGGGCCCATTTCTAAAAATCTCTTTCCTACCTCCAGGTCACTTTCTTTATATCTGTACTTTCCAAACTCATCTCGGCCAAACGCCACTTTCATCACTCATTTCCCCCTCAGGAAAGCCCCTGAGCTCCCTATTCTCTCAGACTAAAACTTCAGAATTTAGTAATAAAACCCTTATAAGAAAAAATGTGTTTTGTGGTTAAAAAAATATGGAGAAATATCAACACATCATAATCCACTTTTCAGAAAGCAATAATATACTTTAGCATTGTGCCAGGGTTATTATTATTATTATTATTTTGCTTTTGTTGTTTTTTTGTGGTACTGGAGATTGAACCCAGGGCCTTTCCACTGTGCCACATCCCTAGCTTTTTCAGTTCTTTATTTTTATTTTTTCAGACAGAGTCTTGCTAATTTTCTAAGTTACCCAGGCTGGACTTGAACTTGGGATCTTCCTGCCTCAGCCTCTCATAATTCCAGGGATACAGGTATGTGCTACCATGCCTGGCTATGCCAATTAATCTTAGTTGTCAATTTAACTATATTAAGAGACTCTGAGAGGTGACTGGCTTGTGGGGGCACTGGACTCATTAGTTGATAAGGTTACAGCTAAAGGAGGTGGGGTCTGGGTGGACATGGGGTCCAGGAGAAGTGGGTCACTGGGGGCCTTTAGGAGAGGTAGATCTATAGCTGGGGCTTTTCCTGTGCTTTCTTCCTAGCCACCAGGAAGTGAGCAGCTTTGCCCTGGCATACTTTTCTGCCATGATGTCTGCTAATGGCTCCAGCTGGCCATGGACTAAACCCTCTGGTACTGTGAGTTAAAACAAAGCTTTTCTTGAAATTGTGGGTGTCAGGTGTTTTGTCCCAGCAATGGGAAAGCTGGCCAATACCAGAATATTAAATACTCTGAGAAGTCCTACAGTAAAGCAAACACTTTAATTTTGTTTAATTTAATGCTGTTACTTATTTGAACACACATCTTTTTTTTTCTAAGAAATAACTAACCATCACACACAAACCAACCGAATGAAAGAAATACAGAAAGAAGTTCTTTCTTTCCTTCCTTCCTTCATTCCTTCCTTCCTTCCTTCAGTGTTTTTGAGACAGGGTCTTGCTATGTAGTTCAGCCTGGTCTTGAACGATATAGCTCAGGCTGAGCTTGAACGATGTAGCTCAGGCTGGCCTTGAACTCATGGCAATCCTCCTGCTTCAGCCTCCTGAGTACTGGAATTATAGGCATGAGCCAACATACCCAGTTCAGAAACACTGTTTCAATATCTAGTTTTAAAAACCTAACATAAAAGTCTATGTTTTTAAAAAAAATCTACAAAAACTCTGTTTGGTCCCTTGTATGACCTTTACTATTTCCCTAGAGAAGGAAAAAAAGGAGAAAGAAGAGGAAAAGAAGAGTTAACATTTCCCAACTAATTGCAAGAACCCAGCTTCTGTGCTGTCTGTGCACTGAAAAACACACTATCACGTAACAGCCCCAGGAACTTTCCAGACCTCAAATTACCTGCCAGAACACAAAACAAAATGCAACTGAAGCTGAGTGTTGTGGGGTGTACTAGCAGTTCCAGCTACCTGGGTGGCTGAGGCAGGAGGATCATTTGAGCCTGGGAGTTCATGACCAGCCTAGCCAACATAGTGAGACTAGTCTCTTCTAAGGGAAATAAAGGATGAGAGGGTTCAAAAGACTTTCATTTACTTCATCTTTTGTACTCTCACCCTTTACCTCCTAGGTCAGGGCTGATTTCTGCATGTGTGCATTTATGCAGTTAAATCAAGAGTATCACACTGATAAATGTTTAGGGTTTGAATCCTAACTCTCCCTTTTTACAATCTGGAATAACAAATACAGAGTTTTTTTTAACCCACCTGGGAAGTTCTTCAAGTGGGATTTTGGAATCTTCAGCTTCAGGTTCAGGAGCACTGAAGTAAATAAGATCAGAAAAGAACAAAAATGTCACTGGCTGTTACGATTTGGGGCTTATTTTGCAAGGGGCACAA